GTGAATTGTTACATATAATTTCCTGCATATTGCTTTTTGAACAAAAAGCCTATCATGTGTACTGTAATCGGTGTCCACAGTTAAAAGGGTATTAGTGCAGTCAGCTATAGTTAATGGAGAGACAATAATTAGGTGATTAATTATTATCTGTTGCAGAATATGCGGTATAAGAGTAGTCATTTATACATAATTATACACATTACACATATACAGATGAAATACACGATATGATACACTGCAAGAACAAATTAAGATACGGTTTCTATTAAAAATAATTATATGATTATGGATTTAATTAGCATGTTAAATGATTACGGTCAACATACCTCTTCAAACAAGTTTTAGAACTCTAGCATGGTCAAGGATTACGAATGTAAACGAGGGGAAAGGCAGACGCACGTGGATTTACTCTTAGGTTATTATTAGTTCACATATTTGGGCATTTCAGACACAAACTGAACAGAGTTCACCTGCACATGTCCACTTTAGTCAGACAGACTGTAACCAAAAACATGCAATGAGCTGTAGCTCGTAATCCCTTATAACAACAACACCCAGGGTGAGGGCACAGTCAGGTTTAACGTGTCCACCAGACAATCTCAGGTGGCTAACGTCATATCTCCCATAAAGTCAGCTCTATTTTTCACGCATAATTCATTTTTTTACGTTTTGAATAAAAGGAATTAAAAACATCATATTTAAGAAACCTACACATTACCAAATACAAAACTTTATAAACCGTTCTACACTTCGTTCCAGTTAACCTTGATCATTCAACTCGCTCGCGAAGGTCGAAGGTCATATACGACTTTAAAGTGAATACATCTACAGTGTAAAGTAACTTTTAACTGTATCATATACATCCATGATAAGCAATTATTTTAGTTCCTAATTCGAATGAGCACATTCTGAGGCTAAATCTGCAAAAGGACAGACAAAATATTTCTTTGTACAATGCAAACGATACAAACGTAGCGGCTGATAAAAAGAGACAATGATTGAATGATCCGCAATATATTATTTGTTCTCGTTCAATCTATTGTACATTCTGAAGTCATTGTGAAGTTTCAAGGAGTACTAAAATGTTGTGGTATTATGAATGAATTTAGAATATGAATAGTGACAAACAGTCACCAAATGGGATGTACATGTATAAATTGTGCCGAGGCCATACAACTAATCGGTCCCATAAAAAGGGCATCTAGTTTCGCAGATCTGTTTGATCTGTGTCGGGTTGCAGGAGTTTTATTAGGCAAGACCAGGGCAGACCCGTGGGTGACATAGTGTAAATATTGAGTTTTAGAACATTTTCTTTTTCATTTTTTCTTCCTTAGTATTCTCCCATGAAAACAGCATATTTAATTTTGTAAATACCTTTGACCGAGACTGGGCAAAGACCGTAGAGTTTCTGGACTATTTGGTTTCCAGAATTTAAATGGGACGTGTTCAACGCAAAAGTTGTAAAATCGTAATATCTGACAGAGCGAACACAACAATGTGAGAGCCCGGCTCCGAAACACACCAATATGACATACACGTACAACATCACTTGTTGGGCTATAAAAACGATGGATTTTCATGTTGGAATTTCAATTTCAGCATGAAAACAAAACATATGTTAGAAAAGCTGAAATATAATATTCGTGATAACATTATTGAAAGTATAAAGGGTGATATACATGTCTTTGATTTGTTGAAGTAGCCCCCTGTGGAGTATAATCTTGTTATAGCAGGTTATAAACATCACGTGAGTGGTAAGCTGGATGTGTTGAACAATTATAGTTCGTGGTGAACACATACTTTTCATTATTGTGTTGTATTTTCTGTTTGTTTGTATCCCCATGATCAATGAATGATACATATGATTATGATGATGACAATTTGGAAAGATTGCAGTGACCATACACAACTTGCTTAAGTCTTCTTTGGCCTTTGAATGAACAACCCCATGTAATTGAAGCGTCTGTCAACGTATAACCGTAATTATTACGGTATATAATCTAACAGTACACCTTAAGATTCACAGTAGTATGACTGTAAGCCTTTTACCCTAAAAATTACGGGAAAAATTAAAGTGTACGTTTGTGGGTTGAATGACACGACGCGGCGACAGAAACCCCAAGCGGGTCCAATTTTATTTTTAACAATGACATATTGTAGTATGTTGATCTCTAGCATCAAGCGGTAAACGAGCTTTAATGGAAATCTTTCGCAATCTACGAAATTTGGTTTTATTGACACTTCCGTTTTCTTTAAAATACTTAGTCCTCGAATTCAAACTATTCTTTTATATGGTGCGGAAATACGGGGAATAGACTGATTTGAAATAAGTAGAACGTGCATTTTATGGCTTGTAAGAAATTTCTTAACGTCAGTTTGCAAACACCAAATGCAGTTGTGTATGGGGAATGCGGTCGATATCAACTCTAGGTAAATGCTATGTGTCGTTCTGTAAAGTATTGGCTAAAAGTGATCGAAATGGATGTAGACAGGATACCAAGAGAATGTGATATAGTATGCTTGTGTGTGTATATATAGGGTTTATATAGGGTTTTTCTATCAAACATGGAACAGTAACATCCTTGCTAGTTCGTGGTACATCTTGTATGAAGAGTTTAAGTCTCATGGAACCAAAAAAAACCTTTCTCGTATTGCTGAAATAATATATCGAAATGTTATGATGTTATGGCTACGACGACTTATTATAAAGGTAAACGAAGGGAAATAGGGTGATATTGATGATATTATGGTTTTGCCTATATATGTGAAACAACCATAGAGAAAGAAAATAATTTTACTTACAATGTGATTATTACAAATAATGATACTCATACTAAGAGAATACTTAGTTTTATACACAGTAAAACGATATATGCTATCATGGGTAACAGGCCTTGTCAACCATATAACCAAATCACTTGAGCACCTTGATAAAAAACATGAAACGATTTGCAAAATATATGTCGACGCCCAGTTGGCGGTCCACATGCTTTGCAGTCGATCGAAATCTGCACGTTGAAATCCATGTTGTTCATCAAGCGATAGACTCCTTAGTCCAGCCAAAATGTAGCTCCGGAATTCCAGCCAAGAGTGGAACCTGTTTTTTTTATTGAAAATTGGCTTTGACCAAAACCGCATTACAAGGTCGAAAACAGTCGCCGAAACACTCCAAAACACAACAATGAGCCCCGTATCAAATACATCACCATCGAATAATCTTTTCTTGCTTGTTTCATTTTAGCTACCGTCAAACATAGATGTATACCTTCTTTTGCTCGGCAGTTTATTTGGGTGAAGAAAATTAACAATATTTGGTCTAATTACTAATCGTTAATGTTTCATTTTGGGTGCTTTTGTTTAATTCTTAAGGAAATACAAACATTTCTTTTCTAATGTGAACATGCACCCTTTACTAGACAGAGAAGAAACACGCCCGCTTTAAGTTTACAGGAGGCCACTTCCCACAGTGGTTGCAATACAGTGCGTCGGGATGTACACCACTGTCTCAAATAAAGGGAAGTTACTCCAGGTGGCCTGTCACCAGCTCTTTATGCTTGAGAATGGTGGAATCCAGGAGAGCGGAAGGTTGGGGTTCGATCCTCGTCAGCGTCATACCAAAAGACGTAAACAAAATGGTACTTGTTATTACCCTATCTGGCCCAGACTCGATTATCTACAGACCGTCGTAGAGGCACCCACTTTCGTCCCCTGTTCGTTTCGTTGACAATGCTATCAAAACAAAGCTATGCGCCAGTGATTAGAGTGAGTGAGTGAGTTGGGTTTAACGCCGCTTTTAACAGTATTCCAGTCATATCACAGCGTGTCAGCTTAATGTGGGAGGAAAACCCGAAGTGATGCAGATCTCAGACATTTACCACTTCGGTGAAACCCACGAGCACGGGTATGGTGCTGACAAACCTATAAACATAATCGGGGCGAACCGGTATTCGAACCCACAATTATAGGTTTCTGGCGTGCCTAAGGGACGCAACTCTGCACAGCGAATCGCGGCGCCTAAGACGACTGGGCCACCCGTGCCCCCAGCAGCGATTAGAGGGGTAATGAGCAGACCCCTTCAGAATGAATGAGTGAGTTTTACGCCGCTTTTAGCAATATTCCAGCAATACCACGGCGGGGGACACCAGAAATGGGCTTCACACATTTTTCCATGTCGGGAATCGAACCTGGGTCTTCGGCGTGACGAGTGAACGCTTTAACCACTAGGCTACCCGACCGCCCCAGACCCCTTCAGAAACATAGTAGACCAGCCCGTGCTGGATGAGATAAAGGAGAATAAGAGAGTGTTGAATATATTTCTTCTATACAATAACCAAACGTCGTGGCATAGAGCTGAAACATTGCTACCGCGGCATATATCAACAAAGAAAACAGACAAATTATCAAATATTTTATCACGTGACATGCGACATGTTAAGGATTACAAACTCGGAAATAAGGAAATATTTAAGCTAATAGACCATGGTCCAGTATCTTAAATCTGCGGAGGGTCAAACTGATTACGCTAATTGGACATATTCCAGGACCCTATCTCTTATCATGTTGGTCAGATAGATCTACGGTGATGTTAACCATCCATCCATATGAAATCACATGTACCACGTATACAATCGGTGGTATACTAGCTGGACAGCTATTCTTCTCCATATTAAACTTCTCTCCTAAACATCGTTATTACCAATGTCTTCGTCAAACTGTACTCATGTCGAGATAGCGTCACTAAACTTCGCAATAACAACTTTATTGATATTTTAGTTAGAAAATAACATTATCTGTTGAAGCTAGAATAGGTATAAACACGGGCGACAGTCAGTCACACATCACTCTGTGGCTGACCAATAATATTCACTCAGGTGAGTGGGTAGTTGGGTTTAACGCCGCTTTTAACAGTATTCCAGTTATATCACCGCGTATCAGCTGATGCAAGTCTCAGACGTTTACTACTTCGGTGAAACCCACAAGCACGGGTATGGTGCTGACAAACCTAGAGACAGAATCGGGGCGAACCAGGATTCGAACCCACAATCATAGGTTTCTGCCATGCCCAAGGGACGCAACTCTGCACAGCGAATCGCGGCGCCTTCGACCACTGGGCCACCCGTGCCCACTCACTCAGGTGAGAAACGTTACTATCTTGTACTCTGTTTAATATTCACTATATGATTTTACCCTTGTCAATACCTGCAAGTTTATGTGGTAATTGGAACACGTCATACTTTTGGGTATATTCTAGATATTCTGGTTGTAATTTGTTGTGAGTTCAGTATGCCAATTCTGTTTATTACGTGCTTTACATTTGAATATGCATTGTGGCGAAAATAGAATTGTCTTGTGTCAATGCCCATACAGGTAATGGATTAGTTAGAGAGTATCGGGTATATTGTATCCAGTCATATACAAACTGTTGTATACATGTACAACGTTGGTTACCTTGGAATATGTGCTGTGACTAACATAGTATGTATCTTGTGTGAATGTCCACTCGGGAAATGGATTAGCTGGAATGTGTCGGGTATATTTTATTCTGTAGCAAATGTAAACTATTGTACGTTGTCCATCCTCCTACATACATTAGTACATACTGTTCTTCTTCGAAGTATCTTCTCGAAGACACGAACACGTTAATGTTTTGAATCCGTTAACTTGAAGATACACGCGCGGCAAGCCTCGCGTATCCTTTCCGCAGTTGCCGGAACGTGCATGTCAAAATGGCCACTACAGCCATTTGATACGCGGCAATCCAATATGGCGGCTTTCAGAGCGAAGTATACTGACATAGCTGTGCACATTGGAGGTTCGCCGATTCCCTGTGGAGAAATATAAAAATAGTGTTAAATGATTATGTGTTAATTAAGCGTCACAGTTTACACGCAACTGTGCTCCTAAATGGGCAAGTGCTTGACTTATATTTTGGTACTCGAAAGATTTGAAACATTGATACTGATCATTGTTCTGTACTAAGTCAGTCACAAAGAGAACGTCACATGGTAGATTACATGTTGGTATGCCATGGCTGAACCTACCCTAGAGGAAAAAATACCATGAGGGTTGGCGCTGTCTTTGAGCAAGGAGACGTTGAGCTTGCGAGGGATGTTCCTGACGGTGGGTATCTTGTATTCAGCAGGTCCCCCCTGCAGCACCCATCCATCCTCCGACACCACGGCCCTCTCCAGCAACATGTGGCCACACCCCTGAAACATGGTCAGATTATTGGTGTGCCCACCATAACAAGCCTGGAACATGGGCAGATTACTGATGTGCCCACTATAACAAGCCTGGAACATGGGCAGTTCACAGATGTGTCCACTATAACGAGCCTGGAACATGGGTAGATTATTGATGCTTCCACTATAACGAGCCGGGAACATGGGCAGATTACTGATGCGTCCACAATTGTAAGCCAGGAACATGGGCAGATTACTGATGCGTCCATTATAACAAGCCTGGAACATGGACAGATGACTAATGTGGCCACTATAACAAGCCTAGAACATGGGCAGATTACTGATGCGTCCACTATAACAAGCCTGGAACATGGGCAGATTACTGATGCGTCCACTATAACAAGCCTGGAACATGGGCAGATTACTGATGTGTCCACTATAACAAGCCTGGAACATGGGCAGATTACTGATGTGGCCACTATAACAAGCCTGGAACATGGGCAGATTACTGATGTGTCCACTATAACGAGCCTGGAACATGGGCAGATTACTGATGTGTCCACTATAACAAGCCTGGAACATGGGCAGATTACTGATGTGGCCACTATAACAAGCTTGGAACATGGGTAGATTATTGGTGTGGCCACCATAACGAGCCTAGAACATGGGCAGATTACTGATGTGTTCCCTATAACGAGCCTGGAACATGGGCAGATTACTGATGTGGCCACTATAACAAGCCTGGAACATGGGCAGATTACTGATGCGTCCACTATAACAAGCCTGGAACATGGGCAGATGACTAATGTGGCCACTATAACAAGCCTAGAACATGGGCAGATTACTGATGTGTCCACAATAGTAAGCCAGGAACATGGGCAGATTACTGATGTGGCCACTATAACAAGCCTGGAACATGGGTAGATTATTGGTGTGGCCACCATAACGAGCCTAGAACATGGGCAGATTACTGATGCGTCCACTATAACAAGCCTGGAACATGGGCAGATGACTAATGTGGCCACTATAACAAGCCTAGAACATGGGCAGATTACTGATGTGTCCACAATAGTAAGCCTGGAACATGGGCAGATTACTGATGTGGCCACTATAACGAGCCTGGAACATGGGCAGATGACTATTGTGGCCACTATAACAAGCCTGGAACATGGGCAGATTACTGATGCGTCCACTATAACAAGCCTGGAACATGGGCAGATGACTAATGTGGCCAGTATAACAAGCCTAGAACATGGGCAGATTACTGATGTGTCCACAATAGTAAGCCAGGAACATGGGCAGATTACTGATATGTCCACTATCACAAGCCTGGAACATGGGCAGATTACTGATGTGGCCACTATAACAAGCCTGGAACATGGGCAGATTACTGATGTGGCCACTATAACAAGCCTGGAACATGGGCAGTTTACTGATGTGGCCACTATAACAAGCCTGGAACATGGGCAGATTACTGATGTGTCCACTATAACAAGCCTGGAACATGGGCAGATTACTGATGTGTCCACTATAACAAGCCTGGAACATGGGCAGTTTACTGATGTGGCCACTATAACAAGCCTGGAACATGGGCAGATTACTGATGCGTCCACTATAACAAGCCTGGAACATGGGCAGATGACTAATGTGGCCACTATAACAAGCCTAGAACATGGGCAGATTACTGATGTGTCCACAATAGTAAGCCAGGAACATGGGCAGATTACTGATGTGGCCACTATAACAAGCCTGGAACATGGGTAGATTATTGGTGTGGCCACCATAACGAGCCTAGAACATGGGCAGATTACTGATGCGTCCACTATAACAAGCCTGGAACATGGGCAGATGACTAATGTGGCCACTATAACAAGCCTAGAACATGGGCAGATTACTGATGTGTCCACAATAGTAAGCCTGGAACATGGGCAGATTACTGATGTGGCCACTATAACGAGCCTGGAACATGGGCAGATGACTATTGTGGCCACTATAACAAGCCTGGAACATGGGCAGATTACTGATGCGTCCACTATAACAAGCCTGGAACATGGGCAGATGACTAATGTGGCCAGTATAACAAGCCTAGAACATGGGCAGATTACTGATGTGTCCACAATAGTAAGCCAGGAACATGGGCAGATTACTGATATGTCCACTATCACAAGCCTGGAACATGGGCAGATTACTGATGTGGCCACTATAACAAGCCTGGAACATGGGCAGATTACTGATGTGGCCACTATAACAAGCCTGGAACATGGGCAGTTTACTGATGTGGCCACTATAACAAGCCTGGAACATGGGCAGATTACTGATGTGGCCACTATAACAAGCCTGGAACATGGGCAGATTACTGATGTGTCCACTATAACAAGCCTGGAACATGGGCAGATTACTGATGTGTCCACTATAACAAGCCTGGAACATGGGTATATTATTGGTGTGGCCACCATAACGAGCCTAGAACATGGGCAGATTACTGATGCGTCCACTATAACAAGCCTGGAACATGGGCAGATGACTAATGTGGCCACTATAACAAGCCTAGAACATGGGCAGATTACTGATGTGTCCACAATAGTAAGCCAGGAACATGGGCAGATTACTGATATGTCCACTATAACAAGCCTGGAACATGGGCAGATTACTGATGTGGCCACTATAACAAGCCTGGAACATGGGCAGTTTACTGATGTGGCCACTATAACAAGCCTGGAACATGGGCAGATTACTGATGTGTCCACAATAGTAAGCCAGGAACATGGGCAGATTACTGATATGTCCACTATCACAAGCCTGGAACATGGGCAGATTACTGATGTGGCCACTATAACAAGCCTGGAACATGGGCAGATTACTGATGTGTCCACTATAACAAGCCTGGAACATGGGTATATTATTGGTGTGTCCACTATAACGAGCCTGGAACATGGGTAGATTATTGGTGTGTCCACTTTAACAAGCCTGGAATATGGGAAGATTACTGATGCGTCCACTATAACAAGCCTGGAACATGGGCAGATTACTGATGTGTCCACTATAACAAGCCTGGAACATGGGCAGATTACTGATGTGGCCACTATAACAAGCCTGGAACATGGGCAGATTACTGATGTGTCCACTATAACGAGCCTGGAACATGGGCAGATTACTGATGTGTCCACTATAACAAGCCTGGAACATGGGCAGATTACTGATGTGGCCACTATAACAAGCTTGGAACATGGGTAGATTATTGGTGTGGCCACCATAACGAGCCTAGAACATGGGCAGATTACTGATGTGTTCCCTATAACGAGCCTGGAACATGGGCAGATTACTGATGTGGCCACTATAACAAGCCTGGAACATGGGCAGATTACTGATGCGTCCACTATAACAAGCCTGGAACATGGGCAGATGACTAATGTGGCCACTATAACAAGCCTAGAACATGGGCAGATTACTGATGTGTCCACAATAGTAAGCCAGGAACATGGGCAGATTACTGATGTGGCCACTATAACAAGCCTGGAACATGGGTAGATTATTGGTGTGGCCACCATAACGAGCCTAGAACATGGGCAGATTACTGATGCGTCCACTATAACAAGCCTGGAACATGGGCAGATGACTAATGTGGCCACTATAACAAGCCTAGAACATGGGCAGATTACTGATGTGTCCACAATAGTAAGCCTGGAACATGGGCAGATTACTGATGTGGCCACTATAACGAGCCTGGAACATGGGCAGATGACTATTGTGGCCACTATAACAAGCCTGGAACATGGGCAGATTACTGATGCGTCCACTATAACAAGCCTGGAACATGGGCAGATGACTAATGTGGCCAGTATAACAAGCCTAGAACATGGGCAGATTACTGATGTGTCCACAATAGTAAGCCAGGAACATGGGCAGATTACTGATATGTCCACTATCACAAGCCTGGAACATGGGCAGATTACTGATGTGGCCACTATAACAAGCCTGGAACATGGGCAGATTACTGATGTGGCCACTATAACAAGCCTGGAACATGGGCAGTTTACTGATGTGGCCACTATAACAAGCCTGGAACATGGGCAGATTACTGATGTGGCCACTATAACAAGCCTGGAACATGGGCAGATTACTGATGTGTCCACTATAACAAGCCTGGAACATGGGCAGATTACTGATGTGTCCACTATAACAAGCCTGGAACATGGGTATATTATTGGTGTGGCCACCATAACGAGCCTAGAACATGGGCAGATTACTGATGTGTTCCTTATAACGAGCCTGGAACATGGGCAGATTACTGATGTGTCCACTATAACAAGCCTGGAACATGGGCAGTTCACTGATGTGGCCACTATAACAAGCCTGGAACATGAGCAGATGACTAATGTGTCCATTACAACAAGCCTGAAACATGGGCTGATTACTGATACATCTACTATAACAAGCCAGGAACATGGGTAGGTTACTGATGTGTCCATTACAACAAGCCTGGAACATGGGCTGATTACTGATGTGTCCACTATATCAAGCCTGGAACATGGGCTGATTACTGATGTGTCCACTATAACAAGCCTGGAACATGGGCTGATTACTGATGTGTCCACTATATCAAGCCTGGAACATGGGAAGATTACTGATGTGTCCACTATAACAAGCCTGGAACATGGGCTGATTACTGATGGGTCCACTATAACAAGCCTGGAACATGGGTAGATTACTGATGTGTCCACTATAACGAGCCTGGAACATGGGTAGATTATTGGTGTGTCCACTTTAACAAGCCTGGAATATGGGAAGATTACTGATGTGTCCACTATAACAAGCCTGGAACATGGGCAGATTACTGATGTGTTCCCTATAACGAGCCTGGAACATGGGCAGATTACTGATGTGTTCACTATAACGAGCCTGGAACATGGGCAGATTACTGATGTGTTCCCTATAACGAGCCTGGAACATGGGCAGATTACTGATGTGTCCACTATAACAAGCCTGGAACATGGGTAGATTACTGATGTGTCCACTATAACAAGCCTGGAACATGGGCAGATTACTGATGTGTTCACTACAACAAGCCTGGAACATGGGCAGATGACTAATGTGGCCACTATAACAAGCCTGGAACATGGGCAGATTACTGATGTGTTCACTACAACAAGCCTGGAACATGGGCAGATGACTAATGTGGCCACTACAACAAGCCTGGAACATGGGCAGATTACTGATGTGTTCACTACAACAAGCCTGGAACATGGGCAGATGACTAATGTGGCCACTACAACAAGCCTGGAACATGGGCAGATTACTGATGTGTTCACTACAACCAGCCTGGAACATGGGTAGATTACTGATGTGTTCACTACAACAAGCCTGGAACATGGGTAGATTATTGGTGTGTCCAATATAACAAGCCTGGAACATGGGCAGATTACTGATGTGTTCCCTATAACGAGCCTGGAACATGGGAAGATTACTGATGTGTTCACTACAGGTCTGGAAGAATCACACCTATTTTCGTCAACAAATAGTTATTATCAACGTCTGTACGAGACAATGTTTGATAGTAACACAGGATCTTGCATGACCAAGGTTGGGATGAGAACCGGTGGAAGTGTGAGTGAGAGCGTCTTTTATCAAGACGTTCGCTTTGAATACAGTCTGTCACGTCTGAGACATACTCACCTGTTGGAAAGCGCCCTCTATTTGTCCGATGTCGATCCCCGGGTTGAGGCTCCTGCCCACATCAATGACCATGTCCGTCTGGAGGATCTGCCCAAATAGGTTATGAGGTTCAACTATGGCAATTGGGAACTAACCATGTTATATCTTTGATGTGGCCGGACATTTTTGTGACAGCCAAACATGTGTATTAAGCACAACACATTAGAACATCCAACACGCCCAGTGAACAGTAATTTATTTTCTTTAGATGTAAGACCAAATTTCTGCTGTTTCTGGAACAAACATATCTGACCACCTTTGTAAAGAAGATACCTGACCCTTCTTTTGTACAGTACATATCTGACCCCCTTCTAAAGAACATCTGACATGATCTTTTGTATGACAAATACCTGGCATTCTCCAGTCAGGCAGTCCACTTCTACCTCGGAGCACCCAGCACCACACGTCGTATAGTCATATAACTTCCCTTTGAGGGTGTTGAAGTCAAAGCCATTCAGTTCACTTGACCTGAGAAAACGAGTAACAGTCACAAAGACCTAACGTGTCAATGTTTGCCTGCTTCTACAGATATATCATGATCAGGGCCAATGGGTTACTGGGTACCAAATGCTATCTCGGCGTATCCACGGGATCGATGTCCAAAGTATTGAAGCACGTATCTGGTATACAAGTACTACTCAGAAACAAACAGTCCGCAATACACGTTCAATTGTTTTTATAAATGAAGAATTTGTGTTTTAGAATGATGTGTCCATATTTCAAAGAGTTTCTCTGATCGCAACAAGGTCACAGTACAGTGTTCAAAAAGGATGGGTTTTACCGACAAATCATTTACGTGGTTATTTAGAGTAAGTTAAGTGTCAAAATGTTCCGGTACTGCTGGACTGATCCCACAGGAAAACACAGGATCGAACTTTGATGGTTCCACCCATGGGGTTCAAGCCTCCAGCATTGGCATTAGTTATGACAATACTGACAGAACATGAAGCGGTACTTACCCATAGTGTCCTACTGCTGACAGGTTGACGTTGGTCATATAGGCCTCCATCACCTGACGAATGACACAACATTTACACTTGACACATACCTGACTCATGACACAGCTCATACCCCTGACATATGACACAGCTCATACTCCTGACACATGACACAGCACACACCCCTGACACATGACACAGCACACCCCCCATACATATGACATAGCTCATACCCCTGACACATGACACAGCTCATACCCCTGACACATGACACAGCACACACCCCTGACTCATGACACAGCACACACCCCTGACACATGACACAGCACACACCCATTACATATGACATAGCTCATACCCCTGACTCATGACACAACACATACCCCTGATTCATGACACAACACATACCCCTGACACATGACACAACACAAACCTGACTCATGACACAGCACACATACCCTTGACACATGACACAGCACACACCCCTGACACATGACACAGCACACACCCATTACATATGACATAGCTCATACCCCTGACACATGACACAGCACCCCCCCCTGACACATGACACAACACACACCTCTTACATATGACACAGCACACACCCCTGACACATGACACAGCACACACCCATTACATATGACATAGCTCATACCCCTGACACATGACACAGCACACACCCCTGACACATGACACAACACACACCCCTTACATATGACACAGCTCATACCCCTGACTCATGACACAACACATACCCCTGACACATGACACAACACAAACCTGACTCATGACACAGCACACAGACCCTTGACACATGACACAACACAAACCTGACTCATGGCACAACACATACCCCTCATATATGACACAGCCTATATCCCTGACACATGGCACAACACATACCCCTGGCACATGACACAGCACACACCTGACTCATGACACAGCACACACCCCTTACATATGATATAGCTCATACCCCTGACACATGACATAGCACACACCCCTGGCACATGACACAGCACACACCTGACTCATGACACAACACACACCCCTTACATATGACATAGCTCGTACCCCTGACTCATGACACAACACATACCCCTGACACATGACACAACACAAACCTGACTCATGGCACAACACATACCCCTCATATATGACACAGCCCATATCCCTGACACATGGCACAACACATACCCCTGACACATGACACAGCACACACCCCTTACATATGACACAACACATACCCCTGACACATGACACAACACAAACCTGACTCATGACACAGCACACATACCCCTGACACATGACACAACACAAATCTGACACATGACACAGCACACATACCCCTGACACATGACACAACACAAATCTGACACATGGCACAACACATACTTGACTCATGACACAACTCATAGCCCTGACACATGAAACAACATATACCCCTGACACATGACACAGATCATTCCCCTGACACATGAAACAACATTCACCCTGATACATGGCACAACACATACTTGACTCATGACACAACTCATAGCCCTGACACATGAAACAACATATACCCCTGACACATGACACAACTCATTCCCCTGACACATGACACAACTCATACCCCTGACACATGACACAACTCATACCCCTGACACATGACACAACTCATACCCCTGACTCATGACACAACACATACCCCTGACTCATGGCACAACACATACTTGACTCACGACACAACTCATAGCCCTGACACATGAGACAAAATATACCCCTGACACATGATTCAACTCATTCCCCTGACCCATGACACAACACATACCCCTGACTCATGGCACAACACATAGCCCTGACACGTGAAACAACATATACCCCTGATACATGACACATATCATTCCCCTGACAAATGAAACAACATTCACCCTGACACATGACACAACTCATAGCCCTGATACATGGCACAACACATACTTGACTCATGACACAACTCATAGCCCTGACACATGAAACAACATATACCCCTGACACATGACACAACTCATTCCCCTGACACATGACACAACTCATGACACATGACACAACACATACCCCTGACTCATGGCACAACACATAGCCCTGACACATGACACAACATATACCCCTGACACATGACACAACTCATACCCCTGACTCATGACACAAAACATACCCCTGACTCATGGCACAACACATACTTGACTCATGACACAACTCATAGCCCTGACACATGAAACAACATATACCCCTGACACATGACACAACTCATTCCCCTGACACATGACACAACACATACCCCTGACTCATGGCACAACACATAGCCCTGACACGTGAAACAACATATACCCCTGATACATGACACATATCATTCCCCTGACACATGAAACAACATTCACCCTGACACATGACACAACTCATAGCCCTGATACATGGCACAACACATACTTGACTCATGACACAACTCATAGCCCTGACACATGAAACAACATATACCCCTGACACATGACACAACTCATTCCCTGACACATGACACAACTCATACCCCTGACACATGACACAACACATACCCCTTACTCATGGCACAACACATAGCCCTGACACATGACACAACATATACCCCTGACACATGACACAACTCATTCCCCTGACACATGACACAACTCATACCCCTGACACATGATACAACACATACCCCTGACTCATGGCACAACACATACCCCTGACACATGACACAGCACACACCCCTGACACATGACACAACTCATTCCCCTGACACATGACACAACTCATACCCCTGACACATGATACAACACATACCCCTGACTCATGGCACAACACATACCCCTGACACATGACACAGCACACACCCCTGACACATGACACAACTCATTCCCCTGACACATGACACAACACATACCCCTGACTCATGGCACAACACATACTTGACTCATGACACAACTCATAGCCCTCATATATGACACAGCCTATATCCCTGACACATGACACAACACACACCCCTTACATATGACATAGCTCATGCCCCTGACTCATGACACAACACATACCCCTGACACATGACACAACACAAACCTGACTCATGACAACACACACCCCTGACACATGACACAACACAATCCTGACACATGGCACAACACATACTTGACTCATGACACAACTCATAGCCCTGACACATGAAACAACATATACCCCTGACGCATGACACAGCTCATTCCCCTGACACATGAAACAACATATACCCCTGACACATGGCACAATACATACTTGACTCATGACACAACTCATGGCCCTGACACATGAAACAACACATACCCCTGGCACATGACACAACACATACCCCTGAAACATGACACAACACAAACCTGACACATGGCACAACACATATCCCTGAGACATGATAGAACACATACCCTTGACACATGGTAGAACACATACCCCTGACTCATGGCACAACTCATAGCCCTGACACATGAAACAACATATACCCCTGACACATGACACAGCTCATTCACCTGACACATGAAACAACATTCACCCTGACACATGACACAGCTCATAGCCCTGATACATGGCACAACACATACTTGACTCATGACACAACTCATAGCCCTGACACATAAAACAACATATACCCCTGACACATGACACAACTCATAGCCCTGACACATGAAACAACATATACCCCTGACACATGACACAACTCATTCCCCTGACTCATGACACAACACATACCCCTGACACATGACACAGCACACACCCCTGACGAATGACACAGCACACACCCCTTTCATATAACATAGCTCATACCCCTGACTCATGACACAACACATACCCCTGGCACATGGCACAACACATACTTGACTCATGACACAACTCATAGCCCTGACACATGAAACAACATATACCCCTGACACATGACACAACTCATACCCCTGACACATGGCACAACACATACCCCTGAGACATGATGGAACACATATCCCTGAGACATGACAGAGCTCATATCCCTGAGACATGACAGAGCTCATACCCCTGACACATGACACAACTCATACCCCTGACACATGACAGAGCTCATACCCCTGACTCATGACACAACACATACCCCTGGCACATGGCACAACACATACTTGACTCATGACACAACTCATAGCCCTGACACATGAAACAACATATACCCCTGACACATGACACAACTCATACCCCTGACACATGGCACAACACATACCCCTGAGACATGATGGAACACATATCCCTGAGACATGACAGAGCTCATACCCCTGACACATGACACAACTCATACCCCTGACACATGACAGAGCTCATACCCCTGACACATGACACAACTCATACCCCTGACACATGACACAACACTTACCTCTGACACATGACACAACACACATACCCGACACGTGACACATTGACACATACCTGACAAATATTCACCTGGCACAAAACATAAAATGTCCATCTAACTCACTACACGTGACACTATATATATAACTGACAAATACGTGACATGTCACACAGAACGTACATATGACACATACCTGACACGTGACACAAAATGTACACCCGACCCATACCTGACACGTGACATTACATATACACTTGACACATGACAGAACATATACATCTGACACATATCTTATACATGATACAAACTATACACCTGACACACACCTGACACGTGACACAACATTTACACTTGACACACACCAGACACTTGACACAACATTTACATCTGACACATATCTTATACATGATACAAACTGTACACCTGACACACACCTGACCAGTGACACAACATTTACACTTGACACACACCAGACACTTGACACACACCAGACACTTGACACAACATTTACATCTGACACATATCTTATACATGATACAAACTGTACACCTGACACACACCTGACACGTGACACAACATTTACACTTGACACACACCAGACACTTGACACACACCAGACACTTGACACAACATTTACATCTGACACATATCTTATACATGATACAAACTATACACCTGACACACACCTGACACTTGACACAACATTTACACCTGACTAAACAGCTTAACATACACTGCTTAACGTAGACCGAGAACACCTTGTTGGTCGTACTTGATGAAGCAGGCCTAACTTTGTAGCGGGTTTAATGTCGGTATGAGTCTATGATGCAAAACGATAAGGAAATTATCGAGTTCGATCGCTTACATGGCTACATGGAACTTCAGATTATTGATCAGGATGACCTACCCAGTCTGTCCAGGTCTTGTCGGGGTTGTTGTTCTTGATGGACTCCAGCCGCCGTACTATCTCCTCACACGCAGCCTGTAACAACCGGGAGAGAGTGTTTAAGTGTGTTTCAAAATAATGTTTTACTTTCTGTTATATCACGACGTGTCACCTTAATGTAGGAGTGAAACAAGAGTTATGCATGTCTGAGACCTTTACCATTTTCCTGTAATCCACGAGAACGGGGATGGCGCTTACAAACCGAGAAACATAATCTGTGATTTAAACCCAAGATCATTTGTTCCTGGCACATCTAAGGGGGGCAACTCTGCACAGCGAATGACCGTGACTTAGATCATTGTGAGCAAGGTTGATAATTCTAGAAGAATATTGTACAAGCTATAATACTGCCATGGACAGAAACAATTGGCCTCCATGTGGGACATCGACACTATTTGACGAGATAGTGATGCGTATCACGTTACCCTGGCGACGTGTACCATAAAACTGCACTACTCCTTACTGATGTATAAACAAATTACACTGCCAAAAATGTCCGAGGTTTATCAGAAGATTTTTTCGAATGATCACTCCATTTATTGTATTATTAGGTTGCGTAAATGTGATAATATGAATTGACCTTGACTGCCTTGCCATTCTGGTCTGAAGATACACTGGCTGCTGTCGGCACGGTGTTGGGGACGGTGTCGGTGCTTGTCTCGGCGGTGTGGATGTTGCTGGCTGGCACTCCAAGAACATGGGATGCTACCTGTATATTTGAGGAACCACGACGCTGAAGAATGGTTACATTAAATAAAATCGGGAAGGCAATGCAAAACTCGCCCTCTCAGTGAGTAGACAGTTGTTCATAACAGAAACCCTTTCCACCGCAATCCGCCATGCCTCAGGAACCGACAATTCAAGACAGCGAGGGACCTTCGACGACTGGACCAACCGTGCCCCTAGACGTGTGTGACATTGTAGAAGCTGTAGTTTCAAGTGATTGATAAAGGCACAAGTATATGTACCGCAATGTCGCATTAAACGAATAAAGAATTTAAAACCCTTAAATAGTTGATAAAGGTACACGTATATGTACCCCAATGTCGCATTGAACGAATAAAGAATTTAAAACCCTTAAATAATTGATAAAGGTACACGTATATGTACCCCAATGTCGCATTGAACGAATAAAGAATTTAAAACCTTTAAATAGTTGATAAAGGCACAAGTATATGTACCGCAATGTCGCATTGAACGAATAAAGAATTTAAAACCCTTAAATAGTTGATAAAGGTACAAGTATATGTACCGCAATGTCGCATTGAACGAATAAAGAATTTAAAACCTTTAAATAGTTGATAAAGGCACAAGTATATGTACCGCAATGTCGCATTGAACGAATAAAGAATTTAAAACCCTTAAATAGTTGATAAAGGTACAAGTATATGTACCGCAATGTCGCATTGAACGAATAAAGAATTTAAAACCTTTAAATAGTTGATAAAGGCACAAGTATATGTACCGCAATGTCGCATTGAACGAATAAAGACTTTTAAACCTTTAAATAGTTGATAAAGGCACAAGTATATGTACCGCAATGTCGCATTGAACGAATAAAGAATTTAAAACCCTTAAATAGTTTATAAAGGTACAAGTATATGTACTGCAATGTCGCATTGAACGAATAAAGACTTTTAAACCTTTAAATAGTTGATAAAGGCACAAGTATATGTACCGCAATGTCACATTGAACGAATAAAGAATTTAAAACCCTTAAATAGTTTATAAAGGTACAAGTATATGTACTGCAATGTCGCATTGAACGAATAAAGACTTTTAAACCCTTAAATAGTTGATAAAGGTACAAGTATATGTACCGCAATGTCGCATTGAAAGAATAAAGACGTTGAAACCCTTGAATAGTTGATAAAGGTACAAGAATATGTACCGCAATGTCGCATTGAAAGAATAAAGACGTTGAAACTCTTAAATTTGATAAAGGTACAAGTATATGTACCCCGATGTTGCATTGGAAGAATAAAGAATTTAAAACCCATAAACTGATAAAGGCGGGAGCAGCATATGGACCGCAACGTCGCGTCGAATAAAGAAGTTGCATAAAGAACTCTGTCTTCACGGTAGGTTACATATTCAGATATCAATAGGAAAAAGTTCATATGATGATGCTGACCCACCTGTATCATCTTGATGTAGAGTCCCTGACCCATCTCCGTCCCCCCGTGGGTCAACAGCACCGAGCCGTCCACGTACACGTGCACCAGTGCACCTGCCTGTAACACACACACACGTACTCCAAGACGTTACCCTCGCTGTCTCGCTCACAGAACAGACACCTCATCGCAATGACATACATTGTGATTAGTGTACTGATCAGTTTATTATAGGACAAATATTTCGGTTTGGTTTATGTTCGAGATAGATGTCAATTTTATTATAATCACATATAAAAAATGTCTCAAATAACCCTAACAAGCTAACAAACAAAATGAAAACAACATTTTTGAAACATTTTTCCGACATAGGGATAAAATACAAAGGATGTATAGTACATCCTTAACAGCTTGGATGTACAATATTTTCCATGCTTTACTATATCAAATACACAACCAAGCATTATATGTCGGCAGACATTAAAGTGACTAGGTATGTTCTGGTGATGAAAATGAACAAAATAGGCTACCACGCTATATAAACAATAGCAAACATGTTTGGGTCAGTGTGTAGGCGCAGAGATGTAAAACATACCAAAACACTTCCAAATGCGCAACATTCCTAAGTATATGCCGGTTATGATTTTTGTGCTCATCTAATTGAAGGAAAATACATGAATTGTAGATATTTCATTCTCACCACAGTTTCAGAAGAAGACGTAAATAGATGTCGTGCAACAGACATGTTTAGAAGTGTTGTCGTTATAAATATCAATAACAATATTATGACTGAGGTAATAAATACGGCACTTACTTTACACATGAATCTCTCCTTGTAGCCGATTCCGAATCGATACGGAACAACGGCAATACCCCTTTTCTTCCACTCATTGTGTCTGTAACACATACATGGACTTTACATGTTATTTGTACATTCATGAACTTTTAAAACGAATGGGATCAACTTTAAACAGCTGGGTCAGATTGTTACAAGCCTTCACCAAACTGGCCTGTAAAACTCATATAACATCTCCATCTGTTAAACACTTAATACGATTCACCTATTAATCTCTTGCACTTGACTCATTTGTAAAACTCTTCCACCTGACCTGCTTGTTAACCTTATCCATCTGTCCCGCTTGTAAACCTTATCCATCTGACCCGCTTGATTACCTTATCCATCTGACCCGCTTGTTAACCTTATCCATCTGACCCGCTTGTTAACCTTATCCATCTGACCCACTTGTTAACCTTATCCATCAGACCCACTTGTTAACCTTATCCATCTGACCCACTGCTTAACCTTATCCACCTGACCCGCTTGATTACCTTTTCCATGTGACCCACTTTTTAACCTTATCCATCTGACTCATCTGTTAAACTCCTGCACCTGACTCACATGTTAAACCCCTTCACCTTACTCACCTATTAAATGCCTGCACCTGACTCACCTGTTAAACTCCTGTACCTTTGTTTTCCGGACTTCATACTGACTTTCCTCCAGACACTGACGCCAACACCGGGACAGCGTGCAGTTGTCCAGCAACATATCCGACACCGTCACGTCTCCCTCTCTCAACATGTTCATCTCACGCACCTGGTGGGTACCGTAAGCAACACAACATGCATAAATAGTCATACCAATGGACATAGTGGGACAATAATGTTTATCAGCGGGAGAAAAAAATCGCCTATACCTCGTCAGGAACAAGACAGGCGACACGTGGATTTCTGAGAGGGAGAATAAGTCCCTTATACCCCGCCTCTAAGCAAACAGCCGCACGCTTTTTCTGAGTCCATGAAAGTCACGTGACATGGCACAAGTTAACCTCAGCTCAATCGAACAACTATTTTGATTTTGTTTTAACTCGTTTACAATGTCATATTTAAACCTGTCGGTAAGACACGTGGTTTTATGCTTCACTCGTTAGGTTTTATACTACATAAAATATAACGAGGGACCAATAAAACCACTTGTACCCCAAGTGATACTGCTGCAACTTATAATGTACGACTGTATCAGCTCACATTTCCATTACCGGCAGAACAAACAAAATGCTGATTACTTGTATATTCTGTGTCACACGCGTATATTATGATGTATAAGGCGACACGTGTGATACAGACGTTTGAGGAGCAGCAGTTTGCAGTTTACAGCTGCGTCCCTTAGGTGTGCCAGGATCCGATGATGGGTTTGAATTCAAGATTCGTTCTGATTATGATACCAACCTTGTCAGAATTATCCCAATGGTGATCGGTTTCACCAAAGTGGTAAAGGTCTAAGACCTGCATCAGTTCTAGTTTTCCTTTCACATTAAGCTGACACGCCGTGATACCACTGAAATATTGTTAACAGTGGCGTTCAACTCACTCACTCACTCATCATTGTGTCATTATGTGTGTGTGACTTCTTTGACATGGGTAGACCATTTAATATCACTTCTCTAACAACAATTCCAGCACTCTCCAGAATATCACATGGCGGGTCCCTTAACAAGCTCTTTACCCATCTTCCAGTGGGGATAATACCTTGTCCCTATGTGGGGAATCGAACCAGGTTCCTTGACACAACGAGCAGACGCTTAAGAAGCGCGACCCGACGCCAAATTCAACGATAAAAGAACCCGAGAGATCTATGTTTTGTTTGTGTGTTTGTTGTTAACGCCGCACCCGACAATATTCCAGCTATATGACGGCGGTTTGTAAATAATCGAGTCTGGACCAGACAATCCAGTGATTGACATCATGAGCATCGGTCCCCGCAATTGGGATTCGTTGACATAAGTCAACCAAGTCAGCGAGCCTGACCACCCAATCCTATTAGTCGCCTCTTACGAAGCATAGTCGCCTCTTACGGCAAGCATGGGTTGCTGAAGACGTATTCTACACCGGATCTTCACGGGTCCGAGAGATCTATGACTCGTTATAGTGAGTATCATTACATACCTGAGTTTCAGTCATGTTGAGTCTGCTGGCGAGTTCTGTCATTATCATCTCCGACACCAGGAAGCTGTCCGGCGCACCGAACCCCCTGAACGCTGTATTAGGGGGAGTGTTTGTCTTACACAGGTAGCCAGTTATCCGGCAGTTGGGGTAGCGGTACGCGGCCTCGAAACTCAACACACATTGTTGAAGAACCTGAGAATGATCACACAAAGCTACGTAAAACTGTAATAAAACTATGTGATGGGTTTTATACAATTTCTGTTACTACAATAGCTAGAGCAGAGATAATCGAACCCGATCTAAGGCGAGATGAGCAAACACTTTAACTATTAAGATGTCCCATTACTCCAAGGAATGCGTGTAATGCTTCAGGTGGTGAATATTAACCATTGTTATATTAATATCAAAATTCAATTTTGCTCTCGCATTTCCATTACCAAGTTCCTTTAGTTTGTCTGGATCTTTCTCATTGACAGAGGTCTCAAAATGCAAAGAACACAAAACACGGCAGACGGATTCAATTCCTTTTCGCTTGGAAATTCTTTAATGAACTAGAACACCCCCCACGCAACACTATACCCCATTAAGTATCTTCAATGCACCGAGAATAATGGAAAATCACTTCATTGACATTTAGTCAATGTCGTTTCATTCCAACTCACGTTATAGGTAACATCAGCATGATGGCCACCGTCGACGTACATGTCCATCACAACGCTCTGGATCCGACCGTCTTTGGTGTAGCCGATCTGAAGAAACATCAGACACATTGATCATGTGGAGATATGATCACATCGTTGTTCTGAAAATCGTAATGGGTTGACGCCTCACAAACCCCGGCCTGTAACCTTTTTGTTTTTATCTTAACCGGGACGAATCGTTGATGCTAACAGATCCTTGTTCGACTACTGGGCTGAACTGAAGTATCGAGCTACAGTAGAGATGAAGTGAAATGGGGTTTTAACGTCACGTCCAAGGGCTGTAAACCAAGTCCGACCAGTCCTTGTTCTAGCCCCTTAATGCCGAGCGCCAGACAGGGTGACAACAAAAAACATCTTTTGATACGAAGCGGCCGGGGATCGAACCCCGGACATTTCGCTCTCCGGGCGGACGCTCTATCACTAGACCAAGGTGGCGGTCAGACCTACAGTAGAAGGTAGATTCGTTACGTACAGTGCGTGATATGTACATCTCATATCAAGCGTCGCCAATGGACAATATTGGTTCAAAATTTGTAAACAGCTACATGTGCGAAGTTTACAGATGTTGCCAAACAACTTGACATGTTGAAGTCTCCACCTTGTACTCCGTGTGAAACCTTGGCGCCTTTCCCGTGATTGCCATGTCCGTTCTCCTGTCCAGCACACACCTCACCGGTCTCCGGTACCTGCAAATACAACACAGCGTCACCACAACGTCTGGACATTTTCGGTCATATCACGGCGTCAGAATAATAATGGAAGAATGCCCGAAGTGATGCAAGATGTTCCACTTTCGTGAACCTACAAACCCGGGTATGGTGCTGACAAATCAGTCGGCACAACGAGGAGGAATCTGAGACTCCAACTCACAAGTAGATCTATAGGCTTCTGGCACGTCTAGGCGCCTAATGGACGCAAATCTGTACAGTGTATTTCTACAGCTTAGGCGACTAGATCTGCCTCATACTCAAGGCAGAAGAACACATCACCACCTAATCACGACACTGGCGTAAACAAATCCTCAACTGGTTTGATAGATGACAAAACACTGTGATGAGGATTGAGAAAGACAGATGCAATAATCATTGTTAAAACACATCTGTGACGTCATACTATTGTTTGAACGCTCCATTATTTTTCAGGAATGGAGAGTTTCTCGGACATTCCCCTCTACATAATGGAGCAGAGGCCCCGCAGGGGCCGAGGCCCATTATGTTTAAGGAATGAAGAGTTACGAGGATATTCACCTACTTAAAACACATCCCTACTTTTACATATTGACAAAATATTCTGTTGTTGACAATATTTGAAAAATAAACCAGAACTCTTTCTTGTCTGTATTTATACTGCGTGAGTCGCCCTTGCGTGACACACGAGGAATGCGTTTTCTGCCGCTAGCTGACATTTACAATGCATGGTGCACGGCTCTTCATACTTTTGTTGGGTTCTTATCTACAGTATTTATCAATCGCTTGCACACTGTCAATACATGCTGACGGGAATAATAGGAAATATAGAGCCCCGAACAAGGGATATTTATATTACCTTATTTGTTTTTTCTCGGCAAAGGTTTAGCCAATTGCAATAAATCTGAACATTGTTGTAGGTAACCTGCTCTAACACAAAATATTATACATAATTATTATTTTGAGCTTTTAAGCATTATGCAAAATTATCAAAATATTAAATAGTTAATGTCACACCATCCCTTCATGTGCCGCTGTAGCTGAGGTTGACAATTACACGTCCTCAAATCAAACTATGCGGGTTCGAACCCCGCTGGCGACACATGTTTTCGGAAGAAAAAGAAATTATTCACTTGTCAATAAATATATAAAATAGTTCAAAGTGGAAATTAATTCACATGTTGGTTCAAAATAATGTACAGTTGACAAACAACTCTCCATTCCTGAAAAATAATGAGCGTTCAAACAATAGAATGACCTCACAGATGTGTTTTAAGTGTCCGTCACAGCCGACTTCATGGAATCGTGACAGTACTTCCAAGGTATATATAGGAACAATTGCGAAAAATACAGGAGTCTGTTCTCGCAGTTGTACCGTTACATCCTGATAAAGTATTCACTCATACTCTATGTACACTACCCAAAAGAATACCCGATTCATTTGAGTAGGATATTTAGTAGAGACTTGCAGATGCCACTTGCCGAGTTTCTAAATCAAATATTGTGTGGGAATATTTTATTATATTATCACTTCGGTTACGAGTTAGCGTCCGAGTCTCAACTGGATAACTTACTTGTACGCAGCCACGGCCACAGGCTGAGACAGGAGGTCAACCCTCGAGATTTTTCCCCCGAAACCGCCACCTGAAGGTACAACATATGTATTTAAGTAAACCGCCACAGAGAGGCACATCAACACGTATCAACTAAACACCCGCTGAAGACACATAATCGTTCCACTCTTTCTTTCCATCAGTAAGTTGCCATTGTTATACTTACCAATTCGTTTGACGTGGCACACGACGCGGTTGAGGGGGATCCCCAGTACCCTTGCAACATTGCCCTGAACGTGATACAAGAAAAGGTTGATGACAAACATCTCGACTCTAAGCCTACCAAAGAAAAACCTGAGATGTGTCCAAAAATATTGAAATGTGTACATTGTCTTTTTACTGACACAGACGTTCAGGGTGCAAGGGCGACAAAATTTAATGGCATACACATTTCTGTCTTCTTCAATACATCTTAGTTTGCTTCTTTGGCAGGCCTTTAGGTCACTGAAACTGACGTGTGAGAATAATGTACCATTTGTTGCGATAATTATTGTGTGAAAGCAATGAAAACTCATGAATGTCAGCTAAGAAGTTACCATATATTTGAGCACGTTGTTACTGTAACAAACCTGATGCATTTGACACGATACACGAACTTCAGACAACTAATATTTGACGCATCCGATTCAACGTATCAGAGGTCAAATGATGATATAGATTGAAGGAAGTCGCTTTGACCAGACAGTCGGTTTGACAGGATCCGACACAACGGTGTTCAGATTATACGTCAATTCTATGTCATGGCTTATAAAACGGCACAATAATGTAATGTTGTTGGTTTCGTTGTCAGAATGACCAGTCATTATATAATTACAACAGAAATTTACATTCACGCATCATCTCAAAAACTGAGCATCCGGTCAGGGAAATCATGGCTCTGCTTTGAAGAGTTCCAAAACAAAATCTCGTTGTTACAACGTGTGTCTCCGTGTGTGTACCTGGGTTCCAGATGGGTTTTGTGACGTGCAGTAGACGTCCACCTCGTTATGTTCTGCTCTTGGCTTCACCAGAACACCCTGACTCTCCATGTAGAAGTGTTCCCGTGGGTCGATGTCCACGTGACCCTCAATGACCACATCAGATGCAGCGAACCCGGCTTCAACGTCACCGAAGACGATGGCTGGCGTGGCTGGTTCCTCAGTGTAGAACGCCTTCTCCCGAATGGCGTCCTGGAATACGATTTACTGTCTTATTCATACCTGCATGATGAATGAATGGTACAAACGCTTGTGACAGGTAATAACGACATGGGAATATTTTCGACCTTTATTCCTTTTGTTGAGAGTGATGAGGTTTTTCAATGGGTGTACATATGGTACATTCTGAGAGAACAGTTACCGTAGATGGTTACATAAATCACATTTAGTAGAAAACAACACTCGTCTTCCTGCTTTGACGTTACCGAGGGAACAAAGGACAAGGTAAGAAGAGAGTCATTTATGCCCCAACGGATCTGCATAATTTTAATAAATGAGCTTAACGTTTAGAAATTATGAACAGTTATCACACAATATCCTAATTATTATGAATAAGAACTAAACACTGTTCATTTCAACAACTATACTAGCCACATAAAGAAACTGTGCACGGAGAAAATATAGATATAAGGGCACACCGTCCATATATGAAATATAGGTTTGAACACAGCAATTATTGGAGACATTCAAACGCTCATGCACGTGCAGTTCGATATGACGTCATTGACGTGCAATGTGTTACTGCACGTGCATCCTGTGCAGCTGTACACAGCATGTGCAACTCAAAATTCGCTGTCACTTTGGAAAGCATGATCTGTGGTCATTCAAAAATTCAAAACTTCTCAGGCGCAGACACAAGCATATCACAAGCAAATCATGCCAAGATTGACAGCTGCACAGCGTCATGAAGCCATTGGAATGATCCGAGCGGGAATGAGGCAACAACAGGTGGCAACACATTTCCAATGCCATCGTAACACGATATCGGCATTGATGAGGCGTTATCAGAACACAAATGACGTTGCCGACCACCCACGTTCAGGACGTCCCCGAGTAACGACGCCAAGACAGGACAGATGGATTCGAGTTACACATCTCCGACACAGGTTCCAAACGGCAGTAACGACGTCCCAGACAATTCCTGGACTGCGCCGTATCCATCCCAACACTGTCAGGAATCGTTTACGTCAGTACGGGATTCGACCACGACGCCCTGCCATACGTCCCATCCTGACACACCGTCATCGAGTCGACCGTCTAAGATGGTGTCGAAATCATGTTCGCCAACCTCGAATATGGTGGAGAAATGTTGTCTTTACAGTTGAATCGAGGTTCAACATTTCCCACAGTGACGAGCGCCAACGTGTCTACCGGCGTTTGGGAGAACGTTATGCACGCAACTGTATTGTGGAGAGGAATCGCTTTGGAGGTGGCTCTGTGATGATTTGGGGTGGGATAACAGCACGGCACCGAACCCCTTCGGTGGTTGTTCAGGGCAGTCTCACCGGTGTTGGCTACAGAGATCAGATTCTGAGGCCTGTGGTCATTCCTTTCCTGCAACGTCATGGCCCGGGATTGACATTTCAACAGGACAACGCTCGTCCTCACACGGCTAGGGTCGCAATGGATTTCCTTCACCATAACAATGTCATGTTACTGCCATGGCCTGCAATTTCTCCAGATCTCTCCACAATAGAGCATGTGTGGGATGAAATGGAGCGCCGTCTGCGTCGTCTTCCACATCCTCCAGATAACGTCCGTGACTTGGCACAGGATTTGAGGAGGATATGGCAGGCCATTCCCCAGGCCTTCCATGCCCATCTGGTGGACTCCATGCGTCGCCGATGCACTGCTGTGATTCACGCACAGGGTGGTCATACCCGTTATTGACTTTGTGACTTTGTCGTTTGACCCCCTACTCCATTTTGATCTTCTGACGTCATCGTAACAGATGTTGTTCAGGTCCCGTTGACATTTTCTCATGGTCCGATCATTCAGTTGCTACAGCGTCTGCATCATTTTGTTCTTGCTGTGTTGTATTTCAATCCAAAATATATTTTCCCCGTGCACAGTTTCTTTATGTGGATAGTATATATGTTAAGGACCCGAAGTGTATAGGTAAGGATAAAATGTGTCCATAAGGAGGCGTATAAAGATTTTCATAAAGAGTGTTTCTAATATTGGAATATGGGCAGGTCTGCATATAAAGCTGATTGTCGTAGGACAAGTACATAAACACACGTTTCTTTTGAAGTTAAAACATCTGCTTTTTTCAACGATTTTACCCTTATTTGTTTAGTTGAACATGTCATAAGTTCATAAATTGCAAGGGTAAGAAAGTAAAATGCTAGTTGACAGTAGTTTTTCAGCAACATTGTAATTTAACATTTACAGTAGACCAAAGAGGCCCTTACTTTATTGTTCTTCCTTTTTTCGTCATTGAATGGACCATGTCCAACATGTAAGTATTACTGAAGCACTGAAACTCAACTACCGATGTCGTTACCGTCTTAATGTTAATGCAAATACACTGAATGTGAAGGGAGAATCAACAAGCACAACTTTGAATTGGTAAGTTTTACAATTAAGCAGTTGAATGAATATACCTCTATAGTAAGAACGGCCGGGAGATCTTCATATTGAACCTTGACACACCTTGCTGCTTCCAGAGCCACCTGGCGGTCTATGGCTAGCACAAGGCCAATAATCTGACCACAACAATTCACCTGAAGAATTACACAGTGGAAATGGTTGTAAAAAAGCTGTATATCTGAAATATTTGAACAGTTATAACATAAAATCATATGAGGGGGTATCAAAATGTTTTGAACTTTGCAAATATAACTTAAATATGGTCGTGAGATTGAAGTATGTTTCAACATAGTCCCTTACAGTATATAATAATAAGTATATACATTTATTCAATCTCTTCTCTCCAGAACAGTGAACACTGGTCTGTCAACCAGTCCTCCCCAGCAGCAAACAATTCTTGGTCGTTGAGAAATGTCCGACACGCAAGTGTTTTTCCCCCAAATTTCAAAACAGGTGATAGTCACAAAATGTGAGCATAATATTCATTATTCATAGCAGTTTCCCGTTGTAAATAAAGGATGTATGATGTACTATTGCTGTCCCAAAAAGGTGGATCCGGGTGCTTTCAACGTCTTAGTTTTTGGAGATCTAAAGTGCTTCCACTCAATGGATTCTTGTTTGCTCCCGGGATCACAGTGATGGATCCATGCCCCTTCCCCTGTCACTAGCCTAAAATCAAAATCTTCTGGGTTGAAATTAAAATCCGGTTAACAGGGCATTAAAGGTAGTGACCCGCGTAGCCGTCATTTTATCACTTGCATTCTAGGAACATATCGGGCACAAAACCGTGACATGTAAAATGTTCAGGGAGGACTGTTTCCATTGATCCATACAAGAAATCTGTGGTCTCTTCTTACTCATGGTGTCTAGTGCGCTTGTTAGGGTACCAGGTGATGAATGGCAACAATGTTTTATTTTGTGGTGGTTGTGAGGGGGGACATACCAGAGCAAGGGTCATCTTCCAATCTCTCTCGTACGTCGCACCCAACGATTCACTGTTGTACATGATGGTGCAACCTCCACATACAACCGTTCATAAACATCCTTGGTGATTGACCCTCCTGGGTAAAACAATTTATGCCTGCTCTATATTCAGTTTTGTCCATTGATGCTAAAGAGTAGGGTACCTTGGAGTAGAAGTTAGTTATCAGCCACTCACTCAGTTGAAGCACTCCAAATTGTGAAAGATGACTCAAACTTCAATACTAATAAACATGCAGTAAACATAACCATAACCATGTTATACCAGGCTTAAAACTGTCTGATATCTATTCGTATGTACATATATACAAGAAAAACAGTTTGAATATTTTTGGGGATATATGTATGAAATTGTTCGGTCTCTACTGCAAAACACTATCCCAAAAATATTCATGATCACTAAGTTTGTTTGGTCAGAACGCTTTACATCCTGAAATAACCTTTGTTTCAGCAAACACTTCTTCCTCCTCTACAAAACATCCCCAAAGGTTCTTTCCTGGCACATCCTGGTGATCCACATATCCTGTCACCCCTGGCAACGCGAGAGCCTCCGTCGTTTCTACATTCACGACCCGAGCGTGTGGCTTCGTACTCAACACAAGTCCAGCAAACAACTCATCTACAATCATATGAGTACATATTTGTAGAATTATTCTCATGGTTGCAATGGTTAAGATGAGATATATCTTTGCTGTACATGTGGTTCATTTTCCATTTTATGAAGAAATGTTGCCATTACTACCTTCACATCTCGGCATGTCATCCAGGTACACAGCCTCCCCACACGTGATCTGTAGCGCACTGGAGTGTGGGATAGGTCGACGCATGTCATCCTCCGGAAGCTGAACTGGACCGACATTGTCAAACACTCGGGTACTCTCGTAGTCGACAGTAGATAGGGCAGAGGGAGCATTGCGGACAGTCTGGGCAGAGAAGGTTTAACATCCAGATCGCACTATTACTAGACGAACGTATAGTCTATGTACGTTTTTATTACACAATATATTTCTCTCATCTAATTGTTATTAGAGATACAATTTCCTGATGCTGATTCCATAATAGAGCTTGATAGACTTGCTTTTACATGAATCTAGTTTTGTTTTGTTTTCATAATAAACAGATGTTCGACAAGGTGCAGGACTGCACAAATACTTGTGATGACGGGTGACTGAATATCTATGCTAGGATGTACTCAATAATATACATCATCAATATCAAAGGTTGATCCAAACAGACTACCTGTCCAGTGAGGGTCTCCTCAACAGCAAACATGAATTTGAAAGCCTGGGCCATCGCGACATGCCGGGCGTCGTCAGTGATGGCTGACTTGTCAAGGAGGTTTTCAAGGGAGGCAAGAACGGTTGGCACCAGTGACAAAGACCAGATCCTGAGCATAAACGGAAAAGTGGGCATATCCCTTTAAGACATTGCATTAACCGCCAATGGGTAGTTAACAAAACTGAATTAAAAATCAGTTATTGATAGCATACAGTTTACATGTAGAAAACTTGTTTCTCGAGTTAACACCGTATATTCTCAACATCAGCACTCATACATACTTTCCAACTACGTGCTGCATACAGTTTTGGGTTTTCACAATTGGTTGGAAACATTTGCCACCGAAAGTGAAATGAAGCTCCTCGATGATATTACGTCCAGGTTTAAAGGTTATCTTTGGAACTGTGTTGACAACAGCTGTATCAAAACCTTGACGTTCTGGCTGCTTGAAGAACATCATGTGGTCATCCTGTGAAAAGGAAAAGTTTTGGAAGTTAACTCTGCCTCATCACAATACAAATATCCGACGTAAAAGATCAAGCAAAGACACACCTGTCTAGTGAATGGGAAGCTGGTGTACACGAGGACGTCGCCAGGTGCCAGACATTGCTGTGGTGGCGAGGTCATCACTGCATCACGGTACGGGATGGTCCTCTCGCCGCTATCTGCATGCAGAAAGTTGGGGTTATAACAAAATATTGACAGCAAAACGTCAGTGGGGTTTGGGTTCATAGAGACATTATTCTTTTCTTTCCAGTTTCCAAGACATAAAACTCTTGTTTTGGACAGTAGAAGCGCAACCATTCTTTCGCGACCCACAAAAACCTTTCTATATATCAGTTATATTCAGTGTCAAATTTGTTCAGGTAAATCCTGAGGCAAAAGTATTGTTTTCAAGGATCTTCGGCAAAAAGATATTTTTTTAAACAATCCCATCCTCCCCGGGAGTATTATGTGGTCGATCCGTTACTGAACAAGGAAACGTTGTCGTTGTGAATTTCATTTTTGCCGTATAAAAAGTGAACAGGTAATTCTTTTGGATAATTTATCAGAGATACCAGGGATCTTACTAGCGTTGTCGATGTGCAGCATGGCGTCCATGGCCAAGAAAACCGGTTGAAGATCCGAAACTGTGGCCGGGTTGAGAAGATTCCCCCCAACACTCTGCAGCAACAGTGAAAATAATAAGTAACATTTCTTCACGCCCAAATGTACCCTGTCTCAATACGTAACTGAGCCAACAATGATACTGTAGATACCGACTTAGTGATACCCACCGCCACGTTTCTGACTTGTCCTGCGGCCACCCAGCGGAGAGCATCCCCCAAAACCTTCACAGACCGGGTCCTCCAGCCTGCAAAAGACATGCTTAAATTAGCAAAGAAGCATTGTTTAAGGGAACATTTGCCTTAACAAATACTACCCCATCCTCACGGTTTATCTGTTGATGGTACCATGTCTATCTATTATAACATGCATCTGCCAGGTATATGAATTGTAAACTTCTAGTGACGTCACCCTTTTGTTTTTTAAAAGGGCGTTGTTTTCCGAAGAATAACCTCTTACCTGGGACTCTTATAGAATATCAGTCTGTCTTTGTTTCGTTAATGTTACGCAGCACACAAGTAAAATCTGACTATGTAACCCGAGTACCGCTCAGTGAAAGTTACCTCATCTGGCAGGTGCACGTGAATACCTCCGATTGAGAGTAACTAAACCTTGCAGGTGCACGTGAATACCTCCCGATTGAGAGTAACCAAACCTTGCAGGTGCGTGAATACCTCCGATTGAGAGTAACCAAACCTTACAGGTGCGTGAATACCTCCGATTGAGAGAAACCAAACCTTGCAGGTGCGTGAATACCTCCGATTGAGAGTAACCAAATCTTGCAGGTGCGTGAATCCCTCCGATTGATGGTTACATGTACACCTCACCTGGCACATACGTGAATATCTCCGAGGGAGAGTTGCCTCACCTGGCACGTGGTGGAAAACCTGCGAGTGAGAATTACTTCACCTGTTACTTTCGTGAATACCTCCGAGTGAGAGTTGCCTCACCTGGCACGTGGTTATAAACCTGCGAGTGAGAATTACTTCACCTGTTACTTTCGTGAATACCTCCGAGTGAGAGTTGCCTCACCTGGCAGGTGCGAGACGAGTCCCGGGAGTCTGGTCCTAAGTTCCTCCAATGTGATGCCGGCCCCCACGACCAGATGGTCATCCTCAACCGTCAGCCTTGTCAACTCGGGGATGTGACTGGTGGACACCAAGGTCTGGGGCAGCTTATGTTTCAGCTTCAAGTCAAGAACTGAAGAACAATATTATGGATATTGACCATGCTCACGGTGATTTTCTCATGACTGTTCTAGAAATTACAGCAAAGGGAAACAGGCGTTAAACAAGATCATACCATTTCATCTCTTTAAACCTTCACTTGACAGAATAGCCATCGGAATCAGATGCTATATTTAATCTGTACTTGTACCCAGTTAATCCGGACTCTACGGTCCAGTTTGAAATAGTGTGGATATGTCTGGATTAAGGTATGATGAGTACGAGTTGTGTCCATTTGTGAATTACAGACTTTCTTAGCAGTAACCGTCAACAAGGTTTCTGTCTGAAGTAATAGTGCTTCACTTTACAAAGCTGACGGGACGGTCGGGTAGCCTTGTGGTTAAAATGTTTGCTCGTCACGCCGAAGACCCGGGTTCGATTCCCGACATTGGTACAATGTGTGAAGCCCATTTTAGGTGTCCCCTTCCGTGATAGTGCTGGAATATTGCTAAAACGGCGTAAAACCATACTCATTCACTCACTCATAAAGCTGACAGGTGTTTAAGTTTTAACATACAGATAGTTGTGCCTCCAGCGATGAGCCTCGCTGTGGGATTCTCAGCAAGACATTGCAGCAAAGCGTGCAGGTTGGGAGGCCGTATCCACGTGGTTCCCTCGTGCTCAAATGTGAGGGATTGTTCATTGTCTTCACCCAGCTGCCATTAATGAGTTAAAAAACAACATCCGTTTCAGTAAGTTAACAGTAAATATGAATCTATTCCCGACATTTATACTTTACATGTTAAGACAGTACAGAAATAGCTAAGTTAAAGTCAACTGTAATATACATGATAATATGACTGAATGGAAGCTGACATTTAATAGATGCCCATTGTTTTATGACAATGTTTTCTGATTTGTCAAGTGACAATGTTTGCTGATTTATCAAGTGACAATGTTTGCTGATTTATCAAGTGACAATGTTTGCTGATTTATCAAGTGACAATGTTTGCTGATTTATCAAGTTACAATGTTTGCTGATTTATCAAGTGACAATGTTTGCTGATTTATCAAGTTACAATGTTTGCTGATTTATCAAGTTGACTTGCATGCAACATAACAACTAACCATCAGCTGTGGGGGGAAGATGACATCCTGGGTTGGTTCTCGGGAACAGAACGTGTGCTTATCATCCGGGGCCTTCTGGCAATACAATGATGTTTGGCCCAACAGTTGCAATAGGAGAACATGTATATAAGCCTGCTACATGGATAGGCTAGATCTGGGCCCACTTGCACAAAACGATCTTAGCGCTAAGACTATTGTAAGCCTATGCTAAAGTATGGGAGTTAAGATCATCTTAGCGCTAAGGTCGCTTTGTGCAAGTGGGCCCAGGTCTGTTTCGACTCAATCGTTCACAGGCCGACGTCATATAGCTGGAATATTGCCAACTAATGCGTCAAACAACAAACAAACAGTAGATCTATATTTATAGGATAGGGTTTATGAGGAAATGTGCAGGTTGTGGTACTATAAGTAGTATTTGAAATGAGGGTGTATTGAGTTTAGAGTAGTTGCAAGACCCCAAAACTGCCGACATACCCCTCCCCATAGTAGAACAAATAAAATAGATGTTTTTTGTATCTTTGTATTCAGCAGTCTAGAAATAGTAGCTTGTGGTCAAATGTTTTGGTGGCAGATACTGTCTCTGGGTCAAAATGCATATTTCTGTTGAAAAACTAGAGACAATCAAATAAAGTCCCCCTAATAAGGTAGTGAGTGCATTTTTTTAAAACATATAGCCTCGCACAAATTGAGTTATTAGAGAGACTAAGCCCAAAACAAAGAAATTTATTTTACGCTTTATTTTCGTTTTCCAATTATTAGCCCGTTAGGAAATACTACTTCTGTAGAGGATATTGTTAAGGTTTGCCTAATATCAACGATTTTTTTAAACCACCGTAGAGGTCACTTTGAAGGTCAATATCCCTTTGAAGGCCAACTTCTAAAAATTACACATAAGCAGTATAAAACATGCTACAAATGCACCTACATCTATCATTACTGGTTCTGGGTATGCTTGGTAAAGCCTTATAGATTAAACGAAAAAACAAAATAAATGTGCACAACGAAATAATAACTGCTCCACATCACAAATGGAGAAGCAGATGATACTGTGGACTCAGAATTAGAATATTTATGAATACACTATTGCTCTCAATACCCAAGGAATGCACTACTATGATCATTATATTTGTAATTACATTGATTCTTCATAAGAGAAAGTCGTTTAAACCACACGCGTACAGTTAGGTATGACAAGACTGTCAAAGGTAGTGAAAAGTAACAACAAATGAACATGACCGAGATATATATTTATCCATGGCATAAAAGAATATTGTGGCTTTGTAGCCATGCTGCGTTCCAAACACACTTCTGCACTTGTACACAGTAGACGTAATTCAAAATTAACAGTAAATGCGCTATCGAGTCACTGAATTTTCTCCCGGTCTATCACTTCATTCTCTGGTTTGTTTGAAGACAACAACCGAAGGGAAGGCAACATACAAACAATTACTTGTTATGCAAATTGTGCGAGCGGCAGGTGTTACCGGTAGGGCATGACATGCATGCATTTTCCACTGATTTACAGTGATCTGTAGTGATCTGTAGTGATCTGTAGTAATGTTGAGTTTTCACTGCTATTTTGCTGTTACGCCGGTATCGAGACCGGTTGTTCTCTGGTGTTGACATTTCATATCCTATGAATGCTAAACTTACAGTGAACTGTTTAGTAGAACTACCAGTAGTGGAAGTGGCGATAACAACTAGACCTTCACGAGTTTGTTGGCCTCACCGGTTGCAGGGAAAATTACATGTCAAGGATAATTACAAGGATATACCACTTGCATTCATGAAGACTTCAGTGACAGTGACTGTGACAATGGCAGTGACTAAATGTATCTTACAATATTGGAGAACAGTAATGGATTTGTTAATGAATTACAGACAATATTGAAGCCATTGCAGATAAGTACTTCACACTGCCACTTCAAAGTAAGTCAATGTTATCAGCAATTATTTATATATAACATCGGCGATAATAACATGTTTTATATTTGACAACAACATGACAGATGCAGCTCCTTTTTTCATGTTTTCGACTTTGTGATGAAATAAGAAATCCAATATGCAAACTGACTTGTTTACGGTAATTTCCTTGATTAATTTAATTTTGAGACAAAAATGTCCATTTTACCACCCCAAAACACGTTTGCCACCAAAATAAATCACCACAACCGGAATTTTCAAATGCATAAATGACATCTTGTGAAGAAAAATATGGTTGTGCTTTGATCTACTGTAGAGAGGGGTTACTCTTTAAATAAGCCGCCTTTTAAGAGAAAGATGGCGGTTTACCGCTTCCTTGATCAATTTTTCAGTTATATCAGGACGTGTCAGGTACATGTGTGAGGAAAGTCCAATGTGACACAGGTTGTAGATAGGTATTCAAAGTAGACAGTAATGACAAAGTGCTGATAAACCAAGAGTAATCATCAGAATGAAATTAGGAGTCAAACCTACAACTGCCCTGCAACCCTGGACACCGAGGTGAAACGCCTTAAACCATAGGGCAATTGTATCCCTAATGTGTCATCAACGGTTTTCACATTTCAAGCGAGAGAGGGGTGGATATCCTAAGGCGCCGCAATTCTTTGTGAAGAGTTGCGTCCCTTAGGTTTTGCCAGAATTCTCTGATCGTATGTTCCAATACCTAATTCACCCTGATTATGATGATTAATTAACCAGCCATGTTACTGATCGTGTTTTTTACGAAAGTTGTTGATGCCGAATTAGGTCCGGCATCAGCTCGGGTTTTCCTCAGATATACAGCTAGCAGACTCCACTGATAAAACGGAAACACAGATCAAAGCGGAGGTAAACCATATGTAACTCGCTCTAACTGTTCAAATATAAAAAGAGAAAACTGGAAAGCACAGTGCAGTCATCACCGTGATGACATGAGGTGATCTGTTCCCGCACGAGAGACACTGCTTCCTACCTGATAATCTTCTGTATCATTTGACCGACATGCACACGTGACTTCGTCACCTTGACAACATCTGGCCTGCAAAAGAGCCACCCTTCTGTACATTGTGTAAACACAGCGTGGGGAAATTTGAATTTACATACTTAAGTCAGGTAGATGGTTTCAATACAGGGGATCTTAAAAACCGTATTATCTCGAAAAAACAATATACAATTACAATGGATGGCACAGTTAGCAAATATGAGGAAGGACTTACCTGTGCTGCCTTTGTAAATCCGTCTATAATTGATCTATACCCGGTACATCGACAGAGGTTGCCTATTGAAAATCGCACAAACATCGTATTCAGTTGTTGTTTAACGTAACGCTCAGCAACATTCCAGCTATATGACGGCGGTCTGTAAATAATCGGGTCCGGACCAGAACATTCAGTGATTGACATGATGAGCATCGATCTACACATTTGGGATACGATGACATGCATCAACCGTGTCAGCGACGCTGACCACCCGATCCCGTTAGTCGCTTTTTACGACAAACACGGGTTGCTGAAGACCAATTTTAACCCGGATCTTCACGGATATCGTATTCAGCACAATCGAATGTCTTACATTACATTTAAATACCCTCCAAACATAGTAGGGGGTATTCGAAAAACCCATAGGATTACAGAAATACCAACAGGTATCGAGTGGTTATGCGTGGATAAGAAAAAGGACTAGGTGTAACATGACTATCAACGTACAGAACATGTTGGCGAATGAGGATGAAAACAATCAAGAAAGAAGATGGGGGCTGGGGTGTAGTCACAAAAAGAACGTTTGAGAACTATGCGTAAGTACCTCCGAGTGAGAGTTACCTCACCTGGCAGGTGCGTGAATACCTCTGAGTGAGAATTACCTCACCTGGCAGGTGCGTGAATACCTCTGAGTGGGAGTTACCCCGTGAAAAACGAAGAGGGTGGGGCTTTAGTCACAAAAATAACGTTCGAGATGATTTGACAAAAATATATTTTATATGCCCTCACGATTTGTCAAACCTTCATTTATACTGCGTGGTATTGTCCGAATAAATATCCCAATGACAATTTTAGGGAGTCTCGTCCTCTCCTCTTTCAGTGCAGTCATAGTTTTCCTGCCCCGTATCATTACAGACCCAAGCCCAAATCTGCCATGTTTCCTTACGCATGACGTTCGTTAGGACGCCCACGCCCACACCTATCCAGAAAGCCCAGAGTGAGTGAGTGAGTGAGTATGTTTTTACGCCGCTTTTAGCAATATTCCAGCAATATCACGGCGGGGGACACCAGAAATGGGATTTACACATTGTGCCCATGTCGGGAATCGAACCCGGGTCTTCGGCGTGACGTGCGAGCGCTTTAACCACTAGGCTACCCGACCGCCCCAGAAAGCCCAGAGTGAATCTGGAAAACATTATACGAGATCATCGGCGATTTCCCCAGTTTCTACGCAGTAACACCATAGGCGTCGGGCTAAAATGTGTCGATATGCTAACGGTGGTCGTCGAGCATGCAGATGATTTGTCATCGTCGTTCAGTAACTCAGCTGGCCTATTGCAAGTGAACAGTGATTTGATTGATTGTTTGGGCCCGATGTCCTAAGCCTTGTTTGTGACCATTTAACATCTTGTGTCTTCAGAAAGCTGTTACAAAGTCTGCAAATCACTAAATGGGACAACCCGTGAAGGTCTGGAACAGATTAGGTCTTCATCAACCCATGCTTGCCGTAAAAGGCGACTATGCTTGTCGTAAGAGTTGACTAACGTCATCGTGCGGTCAGGCTTGCTGATTTGGTTGATGCATGTCATGGCATCCCAATTGCGTGGATTGATGCTGATGGTGTCAGTCACTGGATTGTCTGGTACAGACTCGATTATTTTTCAGAACCGCCGTCATATAGCTGGAATATTTCTGAGTGCGGCGTTAAACAACAAACACACAAACAAACAAACAAATACTGAATGGTATCCTATGAAAGCTTACGTGCTACTGACGATAAGACAATTCAACAATACTACTGGCTCAGAGTGATTTGACGGACATGTCACGAATGACCTCCCCCCTCCCCTCCGTAGGACATTCATGGCCCACGTGCAATGTTTGGAATGTGTTGGAGGGTTGGTTCCGAAACCATTCTACCGCTGGCAGTCATTCTTCAAATGTTATCTATCTTCTAACGACGGATCATAATATTTATATTTCATGGCCCCCTACCATTTTGGGAGAGTACATGTCTAGGCATCAGCTGTTGTGTATGAGATGATAGTTATAACCTGAAATGTTAGATCACGAAAGCGAAACATTAAAGTGTTTTATGTTACACGGAAATTGGAGTCAATGGCTGTTTGCGCCAAATCAAATTAGTGACCAATTAGTTAAACAAATGAATAGTGTATAAATAAAGGTATAAACGGTAACAATGAATTCAATTAGTTTTTATTGGGAAATCATTGTACTCAACAGGTTGCCTGTGCACGGGTGACATCCAAGGATGTGATATTGTATAGCTAATGTGAAAAACTTGATTTGGGTGTGTTGGGGGCGTTTAGTAGGTTACCGTTCTATCCGTTGCAGTCTTTTCTTCAAAGCTGATCTTTGTTCTGACGAGCGATAATAGAATTTATATTTCATGATCTCCTATATTTTGGGAGAATGTATGTATGTATGTATGTATGTATGTATGTATGTATGTATGTATGTATGTATGTATGTATGTATGTATTTATGTATGTATGTGTGCGTGTACAATGTAGTAAGGCTGGATTAATAATGACGCTTCTAGAAAGTTCATAGAGATCACATTGCTTGACTAGCTAGTTGTCCTTCGGAGACCAAGAGAACAACAACAAACCTTCTATTGCCTATTGTTAGTATGACCTGTGAAGGGTAATCCCCACCTAGCCTGAGTTGACTTTTGAAAACTATTCTTTTAGGATCAGGATGCCACATACCTTCTATGGCCAACTGGATGTCCTCCTGGGAGGGCCGAGGGATGTTCCTCAACAGTGTGTACATGGACATCACCATGCCAGATGTACAGAATCCACACTGAACCCCGTGAGCCTCGGCGAGACACTCCTGGAATGCAGGGAGGCTTAGAAGTGAAACTCGGGAATGGTTACTTTACAAGTGGTTTATACTAACTGTTCTTGTTTTATGAATTATATCATCCATCACCTACCTGGATCTTGTGCAGTCCCCGCCTCGTGTCGCCAACCCCCTCCACAGTAGTGACCGCCATGTTGTGCAGGGAACACAGCGGCAGTAGACAGGCGTTCACGGCCATGTGTCTGCGGAATAACGAGAGAGACATAGCATTAGATAGTGTGTCTGAAGAATAACAACAGGACATAGCGTTGGATTGTGTGTCTGCGGAATAACAAGAGAGGCATAGCTTCATATTGCGTCTCCAGAGTAACAGCAGGACATACCGTCAGATTGTGTGCCTGCAGAATAACGACAGGACATAACAAGAGAGCCATAGCCTCATATTGCGTCTGTAGAATAACAAGAGCACATAGCTGTATATAGTGAGCCTGCAGGCTAACAAGAGCACATAGCTGTATATAGTGAGCCTGCTGGTTAACAAGAGCACATAGCTTTATATAGTATCTGCGGAATGATAAGAGGACATAGGGCATAGCATCAGATTGTGTGTCTGCAGAATAACAAAACGTTAGACTGGAGAAGAGCAAGAGGGGCATCGCGTGAGAATGATTGTCTGCAGAATAAAAAAGATCACAGTGTTAAATGTGTGTCTTCAGAATAACAAGGGAAATCTGGCTTTAGATGGGATGTCCGCAGAAAAAAGAAGAGCGTCATATCACAGAATAACAAGGGAGCTAAAGTGCTATATTGATTTTCTATAGAATAACAAGAGAAACTAGCGGTAGCTCCGTTGTATGGGGAATAACAAGGGAGACGCAGCGTCAGTTTCGTTGTCTGCAGAATAACAAGAGAGCCATGGCGTTATATTAGTAGACAACGTGCTGGTCGGCGACATCTGAGGTTGTTGGAACGGAGACGTCGGATCACAGTGTCCCGTCTCATGTGTCGATTATGTGTCCCTATGGTCTGTCGAGCACTTTCACTCGCAGTTAGGAACGGATGTCGCTGGTGTTGACGGGTAATCTGCCGATCTTGTCGAGGTGTGGCGGGCCTAGGACGACCGCTCCGAGGAAGGTCATCTGTGGTCTGTGTAGCATTGTATCGATGCAGGAGACGGTAAATTGTAGTTATGTTAACGTTGAAATGACGGGCAACATCTTGGACAGACTCTCCAGCTTCCAAACGTCCGATAGCCTGGTTTCTCTGAATTTGAGTTAGGCCTGGCATTGTTGACCAAGGAGTGGTAAGTCCAAGAATCGGCCACAGTTTTATACCCACTATAGTTCGTGACAGTTCGTGCATTTTCGATTTCGCGAGAAATAGGTGCATGATACCCACATATTCATTGAAATGGTGCGTTTTGGCGATTCGTTTTTTATGTTGCGTTTTTACTCGGGGCTTCCAAAATGCATCCAAAAATATTGATAACACCATCAGGCTTCACTACATGCTAAAACTCGTATCAATTTGTGGTTCCGTGTTTGTTACCTATTTGCTTAAAACCACTTGCGTTTCTTTGGCGTGTGAGTATATATAGAATGTGTGGCTACGGAATAGCAATTGGCGATTATCGCTAACATGGTTATCAACAAAATAACAAGAGGGCATAGCGTTCGATGGTGTGTTTGCAGCTTGACAAAAGAGGCCTACCATAAAACTGGTTCTGCAGAGTTGTTTCAGAGATTGCATGTTTCCAAATATCTGCAGGATGACAACAGGCATAGCGGTAGCCTGTATTTCAATGAGTCTGTGAGGTTACATTGCCATAGCCTTTGTTTAAGCGCAGAATTCTAATTGAGGGATACAGTTAGTTGAGTGTGTGAAAGCGCATGTGTAGATAATGAAGTCTTTTAAAGGGTTAGAGTCTGGCGATGGGTGTGGGTGTGTGTATGTGTGTATGTGTGCGTGCGTGCGTGCGTGCGTGCGTGCGTGTGTCTGTGTGTGTGCAAATAAAATAAACATATCAACTTCTCTGCAATGTCCATACATACCTGATAGTCTTCTCCCTCCTGTCATAACGGGACAGCATGACGGTACAAGCTCCACACCGCCCCTCTCCGCATCCTTCCTTGGAACCTGTCAGACGCACTGACCATCGTCGAGGAACCCAAACTGTTTCATACTGACACTTAATACTGGTTGAAATATATAATTACACTGTCATAGATTTTTTAATCGTTAGAAGTAAACACCATTCCATTCATGCATTAAAGGCCCGAATATGATGACTACCACGTCCATTCCGTAACAACTGAACTCGACTGATAAAAAATGATCAAACGTGACATCTAAATAATGTGGTATCCAAGCCAAGTCCCAATGACATCCCAAAATTGCATCTCGAGAGTACGCATTTGCTCGATAAGTCTATTTGTCACTCACTAAAAGATAAAACGAGGACTAGATGTTGCAAAGAATGTGTCTGACGATTTGCCGCTCATTCGAAAAGAGAGCTTTCGAATTTAATTCATTTCGCTGTTTCTTATGCGCTTGCACTAAGAGAGGAAGCACAGATACAGAAACACGTGTCTCTGTGAACAGAGGCAGTCTGAGGAAGGATACGTCTTCGTCTGAGGTATTGGAGGAGGTTGCCCCGGGGGTCGGGACGTGGCTCCGTCACCTGGAATAGGAGAATCTTTATGTAAAACATACATATAAGTGAAAGTGATTTAATCCAATCAGTTAAGCTAAATATGAAAGCTCTGCAATAATGAAACTAGGGTACGTTGTTCCAAATGTCAACCAACGATTGTCCAACTGAGCTAATGTTACCGGCTGACCCTGGTCCTGCGGTAGGCGTCACTTTATCTCATCCCAGACATGTTTTATGAGGCCGAAGTCTGGAGAAACAGGCGGTCGTGGCAGTACAGCAATGTTACGCTGCCTCAAGTTGTCGGCTACAACACATGCAACGTGTTGGCGGGCATTATCCGAGGACAACGTGACGTTACCTCCCTGCATTTGCATAAAGGGTAGAACATGATCTCGAGCGACGTCGTCCTGCTAGCGTACGCCTTTCAAATTGCCATTAACAATGATGAGTTGTGTTCTCTCATGAGTTGTGATGACGCCCCATACCATTACACTCCTACCCCAAAACTGACGACGGTAAGCAGCGCAAGCGTTGCTAAAACGATCTCCTGGTTGTCCATGGACCTTTGCACGATCATCTCAGAGCTGTCGGGATGAAACCTAGACTCATCTGCGAAGAGTATACTGTCCTAGTCTTGTCTAAACATCAGATGCTGTCTGCACCAAGCTGGGCTTGCCTGACAGTGACATGGAAGCAAAATTGGGTGTATCGCTGGTCGCCGATGTTGTGCTCCCTCAACCGGTTGCATGCAGTTCTGCCACTAATTGGTCTCAATCCAGGAATTGTCAGAGCTATTTATGTCACGGTGTCGTATCAATTCCGTAGATGTGTCAACCAAATTCGGTTGTTTTGTTGATGTGACGTCACACGTGGACGACATGCCAGGCGCAGGTCTTGGGTGTTGCCCTGCTGTATATAACGTCTCCAGAGAGATTGATATTTCTACACCAAACGGTACAGTGATGTCATTCTGCAGCCAGTTCTCCTTCTCAGAACACCGCCACAATAGGACAATGCCAGGCTCACCCAACCCGGAGAATCCAAGACTTTCTCAGCGTCAATAACGTAGCAGTTGTGCCGCCACGCTCACCCGACATCTCGCCCATAGAACATCTCTAGGATCATCTTGGAATAAGACAACGTCCGAACTGCCGAACAGCAGCTGGAACGTGCCGGCCGAATATCAAATTGCGTCATCATGAGGCTTACGTAATTGACGAGGCGTCGTGTCCGGGCCTGTCTGGGCGCTGGAAGAGGTAACATAATGAAGTTATTGATGCCAACACCGACATGATAAGCAAGCGTTCATCATCAAGTTTCATCATCTGTTTTTGTGAAAGGTGTCAGTTGTGACTCCATATATTTTACTGCAAGTCGGTGTGTACCTCCTTTAGGGGTTGTTGTGCGACTGAAGCGTGTAATTTTGGAGGAAATCACCACATGCGAAGCCTTTATATCCACCTCTGCTGTATTTTCGTTTCAGTCTTTGAAACTGATAGACAGGAGTAAAGAAAAACAATCTTATTTACGCGCCGCTTACGCGCTGCATTAACGAAATTACAATCTATCCAATTCTGCAAAGTTGTATCTCCATGAGACTTGCACTTTTAATAAAATGCTTGTCCAAATTCTGCGTTTGGATTTTTCCAATCCGAGAAGAAACTCCGATTCATGGGCATAAAGAAACAGACCATTACAGAGGGGAGTACAGTTGGTGCCCCTGAAGATGCCTACCTCCAAGTATCGTACCCCAGACATATTGTATTCTCTATAAACTTCAGACATAATGTTAATTTAATTTTTAACAAGTTTTTCTGACTCTTTGAAGATAAAGATGGAACTATATGTATGTTGACCACGTTTAGTGTCAAATGCCCCCGGATTGTTAAAAAAATTGAAAATTTTATTATAAATTGTATATTTATATACTTATCCTATCTCACACTATGCATCTCTCTTTCTTCTTTCGATTCTGAGTGGAAACGTATCTGAAATAAAAGTTTCCAGCTTCTAAAGTTAATTAACCCTGTCATACCTCACATCGTCACGGTCACCTCCCAGATCTGGGTCATGCGCGCTATGCATGCTGGTTGACCTTCTTGCACTGATCACGTGTCTATCCCAGTCAACTCATTCTCTTTCAAGAGCATATAGACTAAGGAATTGCGATGTGGGGATGGACGGGTGGGCATATAACGTGTGAGATAGGATAAGTATATAAATATACAATTTATAATAAAATTTTCAAATTTTTAAACTTATCCTATCTCACACTATGCATTTTATCCCACGGTTGGATGGTGGGGCGCAACTCCCTTGTCTATAGATCACAACCGTAGGATATTTACGAGGAAGCTGGAACTTAACAGTGGTACAATACTTAATACAGTAACACAGTTAAGTGTCGTAAGACAACAAAAAAACAACAACAAAAAACAACAACTCGTAGACAGGATAAGAAGAACACTCTCAAAGAATGTTGAGATCCTGATACGTGAACAACTGAAACACAATAAGTCGGGTACAACATGTGTAACATGTTCAAACGTAATCAAGCGTAATCGCATGTCTAAAACGAACGAGTACGACTTATATTCGAGAGAGTATACATCCAGTCGTCGAATCTACAAGACGGGGTATTCCTATCTCCAGAGGACGATAGGTTGGACCCGCTCGGCATCTCTTTTATCGCTTCGTCAAACCCTCAATCATGTCAGTGATTGAATCGATGGGTAAAAAACGAGAAGAGGAAACAATCAACAATATCCACAAAAGGATCATCGATCCGTTACTCAACACACATACCTAAAGTAGAGGTGTTTGAAATAAGGGATCGGGACACCGAAATCGGCCGCGTCTAATGACGACTTCGAGTTGAAGACCAAGATCTCTACAGACGAGTGATTATACCCTCCAACCGGATACTCAGTCTGGGAAGCCCGAATGAATACAATAAACACCAATAATCATGACAAATGTTTATTATAAATAGAGATGGATGTAATGTAATGAAAATCTGGTTATACATCTCTCTATCTGCGCAGGTGTGTCTTTGAGATCTGTTGTGCGAGTACCAAGGGTCCAAACTGGTGAAGACCTTGAACGTCCGTCACTGAGATGTCTCGGAGGTAATGGGAAGCGAACACGGTATCGGATTTCCAAAAACATCCCTCCATAATTGCGGTCAAGGAGCAATTACTGTGAAGTGCCATGGTGGAAGCGACAGCACGGGTTTCGTGAGGATTAGATGCGACTGGAGCAGGTAGGCCTAGTGAAGGTGTAGGCTCGAAGGATCACTGAGCGTATCCAAAACGAGATTGTGGTACGGGATACCTCCGTAGTAGCTGCCGCAGAGAGCGGGATGAATAACCTCTTACGTAATCGACGAAGTGGTTTCGCAGCTTCCAGATAGATTCGAAGTGCACGTACCGGACACAACGATATGTCTTCGTCAGGGTTTAAGAGGGCAGTCAACGGTGGGATACTGAATAGTCGATCGGGTTGACCAGGGAGTTGATTTTTGGCGATGAAATCCCATCGTAGTCCCAAAAATACTTTCCCATGTGCAGTTCGTTCGAAACGCACTCTGTTGACGTCTAAAGCGTGAATTTCACTCACTCGAGCCGCCGTTGCAAGGGCCAGAAGGAAAACTGTCTTCAAAGAAATGTGTTCGAAATCTTTCTCGGCGAGAGGTTCGTACTCGGCCGACGTTAGATGGCGAAGTATGATATTTTTTAACTTATCCTATCTCACACTATGCATCTCTCTTTCTTCTTTCGATTCTGAGTGGAAACGTATCTGAAATAAAAGTTTCAAGCTTCTAAAGTTAATTAACCCTGTCATACCTCACATCGTCACGGTCACCTCCCATGCGCTATGCATGCTGGTTGACCTTCTTGCACTGATCACGTGTCTATCCCAGTCAACTCATTCTCTTTCAAATCGCCACGCAGTGGTGACGTGTTGTTATTACAGGAATCCATTTTGGGGTTTTCTTTTCGCTTGCAAGCGATCTTCATATTTTTGTCGTCTAATTGCCTGCAAATTTACTTATATCCCTGTTTGGGATAGTTATTCATCATAATGGACGAGCAGTCTACACGGAGACCTGTCTGCACTTTGTGCCGACGTGTTTTCTCTCTGTCCGACCCTCATGCCCAATGTTCGGATTGTCGTGGATTATGCAGTTTATTAGAGCGTTGCGAGCTCTGCTCCGATCTACCAGATGAATCCTTCAAACTGTACCTGCATAAATGTCGGCGTCGGGTGTCAGATCGTCTCTCTAAGACTGCAGAAAAATCCACGAAAGCCAAGAAAACACCGGTCAAGAAAGCGAGATCGGCCCGATCACCCTCACAGGCGGGCCAGAATACTAGGGATCAAACTGGTCCCATGATCTCGTTAGACGATGAGGGGGTCTCTGACTCTTTTCTCACAGACGACATGTCTAAGGTATCCACGAATCCACCTTCAAAGCCGAACCTACCTTCCACATCCCGAGACTCGGACATTCGACGAGTCCTCTCGTTAGACACGAGTGTGGGTGACCGGCTTACGTCAGCCAACGTATCCAACCCGACCGAGGTTCGTACTTTCGACTCGTCGTGTTCTACGACTAACATGGAGCTCGCTCCTGTTTTACCTTCAGAGGGTACACATGGTACTGGTACCTCGGTCGACCCTATAAGTTCGGTCCGTCGTTCGAAATCTCCCATACGACGATCTTCGCAGGATCGATCCTCTCAAGACCAGGAGTCGTATGACGACTCATCGAATCAAGGTTCACGAACCTCCCATTCCAAAGAGGATTCACAAGGAGATAGACATTCGTCCCGGGATCGACTAGCATCGACAGTCAGTGCACTTTATTCAGTGCAATCATCGGGGGATCGGCATTCAGACTTTGACCAACGTACTTCTCACTCTCGACACCGAGATGATTCACAGAACATCCCACCATCGAAGGTTCCTCGTACTTCCGAACCTCGAACCTCCGAACACCGAACCTCCGAACACCGAACCTCCGA